TGTTTTATAATGCTTTATATATATATATATATATATATATATTTCAAAACATTAAAAAAATTTACATTTTAAAAATATTGTATAATTTCAAAGTCAGCTGGCAAAACTTACAGAACTTAAGCACTTACAGTAATATATAGTTTTATACTTAAATATATTTAAAAATATCTAAACATCTAAACATTAAAAAAAATGTCATTAGTAATTTTTTTTAATGTAAAAAGTATTGTAGAATATATAATTCTATATAATTAATATGTATAATAATAATATAATAATATCTATAATTTTATTGTAAATATTAAATATTTAAATATATATTTAAATATTTAATATTTACAATATTTGAATAATATAAATGTAAAATATTTATTTAAAAAATTAAAATATTAAAATATTTTTACGCATTGTAGAATTTGAAATAAATTTGAAATATTGATATATTAATTTCAGAGTTTGTTAGCAAAACTGCTCAAAAGCAGTACTATATATAGTTTCAGAATTAAAAATTTTTTTTTTTTAAATATCTAAATATTTTTACAAAACAAATTAATATTTCCTTTTAATAAATATTTAACTTTTAAATATGGCCAGTTAGCAAAATGGCTCAAAACACTTACAGCGCTATATTTAGTTTTATATGTTTTAATTTAATTTTTTTCAAATATACAAATATTTTTAAACATTGTCAAATTTGAAATGCATTTTAAAAATTGTAGAATAATTTCAAAGTCAACATGAAATGGCATTCCCATTTTATTCCATAATGTATTTCTGTGTGTCTTTATAACAGGAGGTTGGAGGAGTTCAAAAATAATTTATTACATTTTGGTGAAAGATTATGAATTTTTTTTTTCTGGAATAACATGCACTGATGAATCGTTCATAATGATATTGTGTATTAAGGAAGTAAATGGGATCGGGGTTTTTTTTACATGTTGACTTGCTTTGTGATGCACTGACGTCATCCTCACCTGTTCCAGAATGTTCTGCAGACGTTCTGCCTCGAGGTCGATGACGAACTTCTTCTCCTGTCGCCGGTCCAGGTCTTCCAGCAGTCTTCGGTAACTGGCGTCGTTGAAGTTCTCCACACAGATGGCACTGACCTGCCAACCGTTCTGACCCGCCTTCTCCATGATGGCCTGCAGGATGGCGTATCCTAGCAACAACAACACCAAAACACTCTAATGCCACTGAGCATCATCACCTAAACATGCATATAGTACAGCTTTGTATATTGTTAAATCTCAGTTATATCAGCAGTGAGACTGTAAATAGAGACAAATGGAGAAATTTAGACTTTTAGATTGCAATGTCTGCCAACAAAAGTCAGAGATCCCAAACTCAAACATTTGTCATCAAATTCTTCCAAGCGCAAATGATCTGATAATAGCTCTGTACTCAACAATATCTCATTTGTGACTATTTCATGCAACTACTAAAAAGTAAGATGCAATTTAAATCTAATAACATCTCTTTACTCTTAACATTTGTGTTTATTGTCTATTTTATAAAAAATGGGAGACAAAGATGAGAAATAACTGAGAACTCCATTATGTCTGCCAAAATCTAAAAAAAAAACTGTGATTTTATGCAAATAATAAAAAGTGTAAAAAGATGCAACATAAATCAGATAATAGCGCTATACTTTTACTGTGTCAACTTTTGTCCAATTTGTATCTTAATTTTATAAAAAAATGGGATACAAAGTTGAAACTTACAAGAGAAATAACTGAGAACTCCTTACAGGGCTATTATCTAATTATTAACTAAAACAATAAAATCACCATTCGATGTAATATAATGTAATATAATATAATATAAATATATATATATATATATAACCTTAAACTTATTTTATTACAATTAGTTGCCAAGGCATTTTCATTTATTTTGTTGATGTAAAATATCTAAAACTAAAACTGAAAAAAATTAAATAAAAATGTATATAGACATATATTTTTTTAATTAATAAATAATAAAAATGTTTGCTCTGACAATATCCAGTGTTGTGACACCAAAGACACTGTTGGGGTTGTACACGCCATGTTTCTTCATCACCTCTGATGTGATTGGGATAGTGGAGTTCACCTGAAATTCACAAAATCAAAGTTCAATATGAAACAGATGTATAGTGCTATAAACCCTTGTCACCTTTGAGCAGGTATAAAGTGATACCTCAGCAATGTAAGGCTCGTGAGACCTTATACTTACTGGGTTTGAAATGATGCAGATCATGGCCTGAGGACAGTGACGGGCACAAGCATCAGCTAATGTGGCCACAATGGTGGCATTGGTGTTAAACAGATCATCACGGGTCATACCTAGAAAAATGTAAAGCACAATAAGAAGAAATTCTGGTGTGTTTCTATAAATTTCTGATTTATAATTGATCCCATTTTACATCACCAAGCCAATCAACATTTTGTGTTGAATATACTGTTTCACATATGCACACATAAAATGGGTTACAAATGCCATTCCATGCTGACTTTAAATGCAATTTAAAAAAAATAATAAAGCAGAGGTAAAAAAAATATAATATAATATAATATAAATATATATATATATATATAACCTTAAACTTATTTTATTACAATTAGTTGCCAAGGCATTTTCATTTATTTTGTTGATGTAAAATATCTAAAACTAAAACTGAAAAAAATAAAATAAAAATGTATATAGACATATATTTTTTAAATTAATAAATAATAAAAATGACAAAAACACACAAAAATGCTAAAATTAAAATTAAAACAGAAATTTTAAAATAAAAATGAATTTGAAATATTGATTTCAAACTAATAGTATCTCAATAATACTCCAATATGTATGACAAAGTATGAAAAAATAAACTTTTTGTAAATTAAATAAGTTTAAGTTTATATACTAAATAACATGCTAAAACTGAAATAAAAAACTTATGTAAATATTAAAAAACTTTAAAAAAAAAAAAATGACAAAAGCACACAACAACATTACTTAAACTAAAGTCAAAAAACTACTCAAAATAAAAGCTCATTCAAAATATAAATAAAAACTAATAGTACCTCGATGATACTAAAATAACACTGAATCCATTATCTCTGCCAAAGTATGAAAAATTTTTTTTTAATGCAGCATAATTCAGCCACATTCACCTTTCCAGACTCTGTGCGCGCGTGTGTGTGTATTTCTACAGGTGTGTGATTGCGCTCGGCTCCGTCTCCTGTCCAAGCGTCCCGTGTGTATTCTGCATCAGTGTGCCAGTTATGTCAGCCAAGAGCAACAGATGTCCTTTAAATTGGCCCTTAGTCGCACTGCAGGACTTTGGACATCAGGACAAATGCAGCATCCAACGCGCCTGTGTGTGTGTGTGTGTGTGAGCAGGTTCAGAACAACTGATATGACACAAACCACAACACAGACAAACCACAGATGACCGTGAGCTCACACACACACACACACACACACACACACACACACACAATAATGACATGGCACCAGCTGTCCTGTGAGTAAACACAGACTGGCAGCAGAGAGCTGGAGAATCCGCTGTACACAAACCCCAGTCTGTGTGTGGACAGAACGGACGGACGGACGCATGCTTGCCTCTCGCTCCGTGCAGAGGCGGATTTAGTGAATTGGGGGCCCCAGGTAAAATATAGGAATGGGGCCCTATACATTTGCACACATTTTCCTAGATCAACCTTGAGGTTCCTTTTTTGTTGTGATGCTTGCTGCTGCACAATGGTGCCCCATAGTTGTGTCCAATGTTTCTACATTTTTCATGTACATGTTATAATGGCTTTCTTTCATGTTGTAGACCACGAAATAGCAACTGATTTACAGTGGAGATACAGGTTTTCACAAAAACAAAATAAATTATAAAATAATAAACATATTAATTTAAAACGGGGTTATGTGGGTGGATTTTCGCATTGGTCTGAACAAAAACTAAAGACTAGATTATTGAAAATTAAGATTCATTCTCTGCCAGTAGGAGGCGCTTTTGGAACGTCAGAAATATAGCGGTTTCCCTGGTAACGGCTGTAAACAAAGCAGCGCTCCTCTCATAAACGCTACTTTATCAGATAAAATGAAAATGCCAATGAAACTTTTCTGAAGACAGTTGGTTCCATTCAGAGATTCATTCATATAATACCTTGAATTAGTGAGAATGAGAAAAGTCTGAAAAAGTATAGTCTATATTGATGAGGAAAGCCCACTGATGAGTTACCAGCGTAAGCCTGTGTGCAAAGGCTGTCTAATTCTAAACTTTAAAATACATTTATTTTTTGTTATTTTAACTACTAATTTAAATAAAACTGAAAAAAAACAATGAAAAGGCAATTATACATTTACACACCTAAGGATTATATCAACCAAAAAAGTAACTGCGTATGTGTCCTCTACTTGGTTCCTTCTTATAAATGAGTAAGCGGTATTTAAAAAGGCGGTCGCCTACCTTTGCCTAATGGGTAAGTCCGCCCCTGGCTCCATGTGTAAACACACACTAGACCTGCTGCTTTTCAAACACACTGTGTGAATGTATAGGCATGTGATGTGCTACTAAATGCAAAGGTACAACCGAAGCACGCTGCATAAGATGTCTTCAAAAGGTCTGCAATTCGGTGTCAGTTCGCAAAATGACTCAAAATATGTTTTATAATAAATTTTTTAAATATATTTTTTAATATGTAAATATTTTAAAATATTAAAAATACAGAATATTTAATTTTTTTTTTACATTTTAAAAATATTGTAGAATATCAGTTAGCAAAATGGCTCAAATAATTTAGTGCTATATGTAGTTTTATAATTTTGCAATATGTAAATATTTGAAAACATTTAAATAAAAATAGTTTATTATTTTTTTAAACATTGTACCATTTTGAATACACTGAATAATTTCAAAGTCAACATGAATATGCAGTTTTGTTCCATAATGTGACATATTTCTGTGAAAAAAGTATTCTACAACAGAATAAAATTGTAGGACAGCATTTTATTTTATCGATTCTTTTTCATTTTAATACACTTTTCCAATTCAAATGTTCAATTTTTATGTTTTTTTTTTGTTTCTTTGTTTCTTTTTTTATTTTTTTTATTTATTTATTTAAAAGTCTGAATTTATCACTGAAGAGTGAAAGTATTAAAAACTAAGTTTTGGCACCTTAAATTTCATAATGCATGCTGTCTCACAATTTGAAAACATTTAAATAAAAATAGTTTATTATTTTTTTAAACATTGTACCATTTTGAATACACTGAATAATTTCAAAGTCAACATGAATATGCAGTTTTGTTCCATAATGTGACATATTTCTGTGAAAAAAGTATTCTACAACAGAATAAAATTGTAGGACAGCATTTTATTTTATCGATTCTTTTTCATTTTAATACACTTTTCCAATTCAAATGTTCAATTTTTATGGTTTTTTTTTGTTTCTTTGTTTCTTTTTTTATTTTTTTTATTTATTTATTTAAAAGTCTGAATTTATCACTGAAGAGTGAAAGTATTAAAAACTAAGTTTAAATTTCATAAATTTCATAATGCATGCTGTCTCACAAACTATTTTTATAATAATAATAATAATAATAATTATTATTATTATTATTATTATTATTGAAAGTCAAATTATTCCCATTTCATACTACATGATGTCTCATAAACTATTTCATTTATTTATTTAACAAGTTGATCATAACTGTGTCGCTCACATTAAACATGCATGTGGGTGGCATGCTACAGTTAAAATGTTTAGCATTTCGTACTGCATACTGTCTCATACTCTTTTTTTAATAGTAAGCCATATGCAGTACACATTGTGTAGCACACATTATATTAGTATTTCACACAGTGTAAAGTCAGCAATCATAAAGGTAGCAGTGGCGAGACTATGGCTAAAGTGTCAAAGCGCTAAGCTAACGCTGGAAGCGATGGCTTAGTCCGGTCCAGACCGCCAGATGGTCCGTTTCTCGGCTGAAGTGAGCGTGCCAGCAGAAGTGGAGATGTTAGCTCAACTGTGCTGTTAACATTAGCGAGTCGAGCGGATTCCAGCACTGCTGTAATGGAAATACACTAACCATCGGACGCTAGCTAGCAGTGATTCACAGTGAAGAAAGGAGCGACTATCCCGAGGCGACTGAAGGGGGGTAATGTAAGTCGATTTTACA